AAAAACCTCTCCTGGAATCGCAACCTTAACGTGGTGGAGAGGTTTGTGTGTCCCAATGATCCTGGGAGCTGTGTTGTCTGGGGCATTAGCCCCTGATAGGGTCTCCCATGGCAAATTGGTCTCAGGGGAGGGACCAGACGAAGAGCGATTCAAAAAAATATACTTTATTACTTCTTTTTGAAAATAAAAATCTTTAAACTACATTTATGCTGTACCCTTGTTGTTATCAAACTCTGATTACTCTCTTGCAAAATTTTCTTTGATAGTTTTCCCTGAAAGGGTCGTTGTTCTTTGAGTGTCACTCCTCATGTTTAACACTATATACGGTAGTTGTGCAAATTACAGTACACAAACTGTAAAATGTTCACTGCTCAGTGTTTTCAGTTGTTTTTACTTTCAGTGGCGACATTTAGGACATGAAGTGGGCCTATGATTACCATGTTCAATGTGTCTAATAATTGTCTCTAACTTGTCCTCATGACCACGTTTCACTCCTTTTACACAAGTTTTTCACTGAATGGTCGGCTGTGTTCTCACTGACAGTAGAACTATGGAAGCTAACGAATTCACAGAAGATTCACAGTGACCTGCAGAATGACACGAGTACCAACCAACTGCTGTATTGACTCCTGTGCACACAGTATTAATCAGGTGGTCATAATGTTGTGGCTGATCAGCGTATTGTATATGAAACACACTCCTTTTACCTGTTTATGAGTTGGGCAATTGATCCAAAATTGTGGGCCATGTTGAGAGCATGGACATAGCTGACAGAGGGCAGGCTCAGGTACATCTGCAGGGCCTGCTGCCTGTGCTGCCCTTTAACCTCCAGCGGTACAGCAATACCCTGACCTTTACGCTGCTCCAGTTGTGCCAGGTCCACCAGCAAGCCGGCGCTCTCTTCGGCACCACGGCTCCACAGCAAAAGCACCCCGCTGCGCACCAGCCCCACTAACGTGCTGTCATAGAAACGTGTTCGCTGAAACGGACGTGATGCTTCACCTGAGAGAGTGACAGTTATCGCAGATAACAAACATGCATCAAATCAAATCAAATCAAATTTTATTTGTATAGCGCCAAATCACAACAAAAGTCATCTCAGGACACTTTACAAAGTAAGGTCTAGACCTTACTGTTATCAATATTATTACATAGGGAAAACCCAACAAATCCCCCTTGAGCAAGCACTTGCATGATGTCACTCAGTTAAGACTTTGAAGGAATTTAATACAAGATATTACATTTATTAGTTTATTTATTAATTAATTTATGGCAAAACAGGCTATGATAGTGATAATCACTTTTATTGACCAAGTATGTTACGCACAAGGACTTTGTCTCAGGTACAGAACCAATGGCGACGCTGTCCCTGCGCCGCTCCGCCATCCGGAGCAACTTGGGGTTCATTGTCTTGCCCAAAAACACTTCAACACATGGACTACGGAGAACGGGAATCGAACCCCTGACCACTCTACTTCCTGATCCACATGTACAGGGAGATATCTTGTCTTCACTTAGAGAATATTTTTACAGAGGAACAGTACAGAGAGTTTTGTCATATCGTCCTTGATTCAGTGTGGGCGTTTGTGCCAAATTTGAAGGCATTCCCTGGAGGTGGCCGAATGGATGGACACACGGACAACCCTGTTTATGTTTATGCCACTGAGGCACAGGCTCAGAATCAATCTTCAAGTAATGCACAGACAATAACCGCAATAATTAGAGGCCATTTATTTTGAAGACTGTAAAATGATGGACTGCATTAGTTGTTTTGATTCAGTTTTCAGCTGCTGATTTAAACCCATTCTAGACAGCCTTATATCCAGAATGGTTTCATAGCCACCAGAAACCAAAGATACAAATGATCAAGTTATTAAATACTTTTCCTTCCTGAGAATCATATCTGGAATGCAAATGAATACAAAATAATAAATTAAACTGCCAAAAAACAAAACAAAAAAAAAGAAAAAAAGAAACTGAACACAAACCAGCACAATGAAAAGGTACAGACAATGGAGATTAGTGTGGTAGAGCAAAGTACATAGTTGACAGTCACATATTAGCTTATGGTTACTGTTCTCTGGATGGCTTTTTTGACACAAGTGATGAAAAACATGCACTGTGAATAGCTGCTAGAGAATTAGAAATCAGTGTTAGCTGGGATCGATAACACTTCACAGACTTTTAAGATAATATTTTGAGCGCGAGAAAGAGACCAAAATGAACCCTTAAACTATAACGTACTCCAATTTGAAATTAAAGGCAGATTAATATCCAGTTTTGTGACCAAATTCCTCATTTTGCAGCAGAAATTCAGGAAAAGTCACTTCAGAAAAAGTGCAGTATATTCATACAGTTCTGTAAAGCGTTGCAGTAGAAGCACTGATGTTTGGCAAGCTCAATCTTTTACACTTTGGATTAAACAAATTATACTCCAGAAAGGCTTTTTATTTTATTTTTTACTCATAACTGAGCCTACATTCTCCACCCAAGTAATACATCCATGCTAAATTCACTGCTGGTTTGGTCAAACTCAGTCATTCATGCAAACATAGTTGGAATTCTTTGAATTCATAGTCGAGTGCTTAATGTTTAACCCTCATTTAAACCTAATATCTTACAAATTAAACAAAATGTTATAAACCAATATTATAACATGACTTGACTATGTCACACTCCAGCTGTGCCAGACGTTCCTGTCACAGTTACAAATGTTTGGCACTTACCAACAGTCGTGGATGACTAATATACATAAAACACTTTTGTAACTTTTTAAATTTGTGGATACCATTTCTATTCCAGGACATGCATGGTCCTCTCTCCTGGGCAATGTCTCTGAAGTCCTGTCCAAGAGTATGCACGCCAATGTCCAATATGTTCTAACACACGTGGATTTCCACAACTTGCACTAATCTCTCCTGGAGATCACAGCAAGTTTTTTTTTTTTACATAAACCCCCAAAACAAGCTCAAATTAAAACAAAACTTGAGTCAAACAAACTGAGCTTAAAATTATTTCCCAGGGTTGTTGGTTCATTTTTAAATGGAGCATTTTGTCCTTACAATTACTCAACCCTACAGTTCTCAGTGCCAACACAGCTCGTAAAAATACGAGCATCAGGATCCGCAAACCCCTAAACACTTTTCTTGGGAATGCTGAAAGATGGGGAATGCTCCCCTTTTGCCCTCAGGCTTTCTCCAGCCAATTTTAGCCAACCAGCTTTTTTGTACTAGATCTACTGTTCACCATGTGGCCCTTAGGGATGGACCAGCCAGGCGTTGGCATCGTCCAGCTCTGTATCCAGCTCCTCGTCTTCTTCCAGAGGCTCTGGGGTTCGGAGGGCCAGCTCCCGGAGGAAATCGGGTGAGTAGGCGGGGGGCTGGGAGACAGACTTGAGGCCAATTTTTTTCTTCATGAGGTGGAACTGCTCACGGATGAAGTTGTAGAACTCATACTCATAACGCATGCGGTGATACAGCACCTGCAGGGCCTCTAGAGAGGGCATGTGTTTACGAACTGTGCCTGTCATGTTCCCCAACTTCCTGTAGTCTGCAAGGAAAAAGTCCAAGAAGAAATCAACTGGATACAATTTGACAGGAATTCAATCAAAGAATCATAATATATATCATTTTAAGAAAAATACAGATGGCAAAACAATTTTTTTGAAGAGAACAACAGAGAACATTTTGGAATGTGAACATACCAGGGCTCTTGTAGATGTTGAGTACTCCAGAGAAGTAATGAGGTAAGAGCCTCTCCAACAGGAGCAGAACATCCTCCAGCTCCTCCAGGATACCCACAAGGAGGTAGTTCTCCAGCACATTCTGTTTGGCCCTTTCCAAAGCCCATACTCCTGGCTCCCTGGTGGAGAGAGAAGGAAAAATGAGAGTGGGAAACAGACAGACATATAACAAGACAAAAACTGAGAAGCCTTACAGGGCAAGACATGAAAAACCGCCAAATTACACAAATGTTTCAAAGAGCAAAATTCTTGGGGATGACAGTTGAATCTGTAGATACCTGCACTGAGGATGTTGCCCACAGAAGTATGGAATGATGTAGAAAACTCTGGGGTTGGAGCACTCAGGGTAATTCTCTAGAATGCACACATTGATATCCTGAAAGCAGACAAATACATACAAATCCATTAAAATAGACAGTATACTTTCATTTTGAGTTTTCTTTCCAATTACAAAAAAGAGAAAGCTCAGAAAGAACTGTAAAGATTCGTTTCTGCCACTAGAGGGGGCACTTCACCAGCAATCTGTGAATTCAGACTCCTTGATATTTATAATCTGAGAAGCCAAAATGCTTTGCTTTAACAACATCCTGTGCACAAAGATAAGTTCTGCCCCCTTACCTCAGCTGCCCTCAAAGAGGCTGAGGTGCTAAATAAGAAAGCACACAGTTGTGTATCGGTTCAGGTTCCACTGGGGGGAAAACAATTTGTACAGTATTTACACATTTTATGACAGAAGTGAAAACCAAATTAGATCAGTTAAAAACTTCAAGATGTGTCTTGTCTGAATGTGGTGTACATTAAATAACAAAAGGGGAAAAATCTGGAAAAACTAAAAACACCCATGATAGAGTGAAGCTGGCCAGACACTGAGGGTTGTGAAACCAACAGTCAAAGCCATGTCGTAAGCTTTATTATGGATGACTACAAGTCCTGAGCAACAAAACACTACATTACTCACACACAGACAGGCCACATGCTTGCTCTCACGTAAGCACACATACAGCAGCTCAGAGCAACATGTATGAGGAAAACACTTTTGACAGGTCTGTGTATGACAGACAATGAGATGTAAAAGTGTAATGATTACGTCAAAGTTTGCAATTTAGATTTAAGCCCTGATGATGGCTCATTTAAACAGAGCAATTTATCAAAGCCAATATTCAGGCCAACACAGAGTACATCACAAAGTTGAACTTGAGTAAGACAGGGCCAGAGGCCCAGACCTTCCCAGAGGATGCAGACTGGTGCTGAGGGGAGGATGTAAGGAGCCAGCATTGTGAACACTGGAAACCGTGTGACTGAGCTGTAAAAACACCTCGCTGACAAGGGTGTAAACATGGATAAAGACAAGAAGCCGTGTGTATATGACCATACATTAGCTCAGATAATGTGCCTGATGCACAGGTAAAAGTTAGTTTGCCTTCACAGCCAATGAGAATTCACAGCCAAAACAGTATATAATAATTAAAATACAGTATATCATACATGTGATAACTATACATCTGGATTTCTTACAAGTGTCTACCACAGTAGCAATGACAGGATGAGTGTGAGGGCCCACACAGATGTTTATGTACAGTACATAAGCTAGAATGACATAAATTATATACTTGGTCAGTTATTTTTTTCCTTGCAGCTGAACTCTGGTGCAGTTGTTTTTCTGATTCACCAAGCAACAGCAGGGAATGTTTCAACTTTGACTGTCTACTCTGAGCTCCGCTACGCACTGGGAACATGACTTATTGGTGATCAGTGAAGCAAACCACTGGAAAGCTCTTCAAAAAAACCATAACAAAACCCCAGAGGAACCTAAAACAGTTGTGCTGTTGTTAGTGTACAGGTCATGTCCGTGTGATAAGTTTGCTCTGCTTCGATTCATAAGTTCAAGCATAAATGGTTATTATTTTGTGCGGTATTAATCAAAGAATGGCAGTGTCAGTACATCCACTGTCTCCTTGCCCTGCAGGCTATAGTCTCCTGTCTGTGATGAGTGTTGGATTTTCTCAAAAGCTTCAATAAAAATAAAAACAGCGGTTTTGGCAGCATATAAACTATAAATCTCATGCAGAGACAAAGGTTTGAGAAAACCAATATGAGTAAAAAAAAAAAAAACAGAAGGGCAAGCCAGAGTCAAAGAAACAGAGAAAGGTATGCAGGAAGTTCCATGTTTTGCTCCAATACTTGATACAGGACCCTCATGCATCAACATTAGGGGACCTCTGGGAATCCAGCCACAACTCCTTTCTACAGATTAGAACTACACACAATCAAATCAACATACACATGGAGGCCAGGCAATACGCACTCTCTTTAGAGAGGCCCATTAGTATTTCAAAGACAGCTCCTGTGCGCATACTCACAGGCCCATTGATCCTGTTCTCATTGTGGATTAGGCTAACTGAGCAGTCACAGGCTACAACTGTTGCAAAAAGGTCCTAATCTTTATAATGGTGCCCTCTTCATTGAATGGAATGTATGCATGAGTTAAATCAGGAGTAACTGATGACGCAGACCTTTCCCATGAGACTGTGTGCCTCAGTTTTCACCAGGGGCGGTGCATGAAAGCAGTACGCCTGGGTCAAATCACATTTAAACCTGTACTTTTTTTCCCCACTTGAGGGAAGTAGAAACACAACACAGATGTATTTTCACCTTCAAGTCAGTATGCTGAACATGTTGGTAAGCAGCTGCCCACACATCCAGGAGACACAGAGAAACATTAGCATTCATATAAAATCATGTGTCTGGCCACCTGATGAATACAAACCCAATGTTAATTTTCTCCAGAGTGAAATATCTGACTCCACAGCTGCTTAATGTGCCACTATTTTCACTGCCATTTGGCAATGAGCAGGTAGAGTACAGTTTTTAGAGGGGTTTCATTGGAAACAACTGCTTACTGCGCGTGACCATGTTAATATAAAAATATCGATTACAGCCACTTTAAACTAATTCTTAGCATTTGACTCTTTAACATGCCAGATGGGTGGGTCCATTGGTTCTGGAAAACATGATCTGTCAGGTTGCCAATCACAGACGTCAATGCAAAACTCACATGAAGATATTTTCTGTTCCTCTTTAGTCAGTTGCACCTTAGATAGATACAGCACATTCCTGTTTCTAATGTAAAGGTGTTCCATGACTGAAGCTACAGTAGTAGTGTCTCTCATTATGTATGCACACTGAAGCTACAGTAGTAGTGTCTCTCACTATGTATGCAGTTTGAAAGTATGTGTCATTGTAAATGTGTTGTTTGGGTTCAGTAGAGTCACAATATCATACTGTATTTTGCATGTGCTTGATGCATACTCACGTGTAGGAACATAAGCATTCACACACACTTTACTTCGTGGTGAGGCAGATTCATCCCTTTCAGCTGCTTCCTCTGTATTTATCACAACATAACCTGCTTTGTTGCTAATTAAATGCTCATAATTAAAGTTTTGAGTGATGGTGTTCAATCGTGTGTGTGTGTGTATGCACGCTATGTGCTCTACTGTTCATCTTAGTGTTGTGGGTGGGTGTAGAAAGGGGAGTGAGGACTGAGGTGAGGAATGTCTCATCAACATGTGGATCAGGTTCTCTCAGCCCTGAATAGCAAACCGACAGTGTTCTTTCATTGACACCTGTCATACACACCCAGCACAGGGCAGACAGGGCTAATGCACACAGGCAGGCGATATGTCCAAGGCTAGTATGAACTCTGAGGACAGCAGGGCAGTCACACACACAAATATTTGAAATGCTATATCATCTCTTCTCTTATTATATTTATTATATCCTTATATATTTTATTATATTGCTGCATTTGCTGCTTAAAGTGCCTTAGATTTTGTGTTACTTATTTATCTACTTTATATTTTATTTGTATTTTGTGGCATTCATGTGGACGGCAAAGTAAGAATTTCATTGTATAGGGAAACACGTTTCCTAATTGTGCATATGACAAATAAACACTTTGACTTTGACTCTTGGCCTAAAATATGAGTTTACTCTTTCCACAACAAACTGAACCTTAAAGCTCAATGTAAAGCCTTATTTTTAGACGATTATATTAATTTGGCAGGACTTAAAAATACACTGTGGTGACTAAAGGTGCAATGACACATACTGTTCTAATTATTAAATACACACATACACATGTTTAATTGCACCCAGTCAGACTCAAGCCAGAATGACATTCACTCAGTACAGCTGCTGATGTGGCCTCGTTGGGTCTCCAACAGAATAAAGACCTGTGGAAGAAGGTTTCCCTCTGTTTTTTTCCTAGAGATTTTAGCCATTAAATCTGGGACAGGCATTGGCATAATCGATGGACTGACCTGTTTTCATTGCCACAACAGTTTCTGTTAATTCCTCAATAGAGGCATTAAGTCCCTGCTAACTGCACTGCATTCAAGTAGCTCCTTTACAGTATAAAACACACACATACAGACAAAAAAATTGCAACTTAAAAATGAAAGTAGGCCTCCCCAGTGGGGGAGGCCTATTCTGTAAATTATGAGACACATTGCCTAGTGTGGTGCTACAGGGGTAAACAATGTTGCCCGGCAAATGTAGGATAACAAGCTTCTGATGTGGTCATACTAAATCAGGTCTCTAATTCGAATCTTAATCAGGTTTAAATATTGGGTTAGCATGGGGCTGCCATGGCCTTACAATCTGCCTTTCTCCCTCCGGTAACGCCATATGTAGAACATCTTCAAAGAGAGCAGAATGTGTCTTTAATATATCTCTGCACTGACTAAACATTCTGTTGCTTATATTTTAGCACTGAGGAAGTTATTTAATCTCAAGATAACAAACAGAAATACAGAGCTCTCGAACACAAAAAATATAATCACCTGGCAGACACAGGATATGCTGTTTATTAGTTATGTAACGAATAAATGGATGCGGAGATCACTTGTGATGAAAAAAATGAATGTCAGCAGAATCTTCTTGTTACAGTCTTTTGTGGAATATTATACACTGTACAAATAGTCATTATCATTATATCTACAAACACCCCAATTGCGCTATGATTACAGTGCACATTAAGGCCATAGCAGAACAAGAAATTAGTGTTAGCGCTGTCCCAAATTGCAATTGTTTGAGCTCTGGATATTCAGTGGTAATAATCAGTGAATTTTCACACGTGGGGGTGAGATGGGGGATTTGAATAATCGAATCTTAAAACTGCAAACCAATTACCTACCCAATGAACGAATATCCAATTATTCTGATATTTGGGTCCAGCCCCAGTTAATGTACATGATCTCAAAGCAGCTGGAACCAAGACAGCTACAGATTTAAGGCACTGTTATTGGCAACCCTGTGACTTAAGACATAAAGTAACTGTGCAGCTCTGCCAAATACTGCAAGCATATTAGTATTCCAAACGATAAACATCCGTGACAATGATTGCTAATGTGCATATGAGAGTAAATGGCTTTGTAGGCAATGGGACTGAGATGGAAGGTAGATAGACGGCAAAAAGATTCCACATTTAATTGACTCTTTACATACTATTGTAATGTAGCTTCTAACATTATCACCCAGCAGGCCCTGGTGCCTGCATAATATATGACTACACTGGTGTGTGAGAGTCTAGCAGAGAGACAAAGTTCTCCTCAAAGTACACCTCACATTTTCATTTATGTGTTAACAGTTAGCAGACTCATATCAATAGAAACTTCTAACACTTAACATTTTCAGATCACTAGCAATTCGAAATTGAAGTCAAACAAATAAATATAATAATAATAAGACACCATTAGAAACACACACACCTATAAACAACCGCAACATGTAAATCTCAAATTTATGCTTTAGCCAGATACAATAATCAGTCACTGCTGATACTTGGTAAGGTCTTACCAAGTATCTCTCGTCGTCTTTCATCCCTGGAGTGCGGATGAGGTGGTTCTGCTCTCCTCTCCAGTCACCAAAGCGACGGAAGAAGTAGTTGGAGAGGAACCGGCTGATGGGGTCCCGGATTATGTTAATATAGACAGGCTGCTCTAGCTTGAACCTAACAAAGACAAATAAAATTGTAGGTTAGCACCTGTACACAACTCCCCTTCAGAATGAAACAAGCTACAAGTCAGTGCATTTACAGTACCTGGTAAAGTTGAGGAAGTGAACATGTCGTGTATAGAGGAATGGCTGAGGGAAATTACTGATGTTCTTCATCAGATCTACCTGAAATAAATAAAAGTCACAGAGCTGATTTGACTTCTCTCACGGAGTTGGTGTGTGTAAAACATAGTATTGAAAAGTAATATAACAAGTAGTGTAATGAGTTACTTTTGACAGAGAGTAATAAGTTAAAAACAATTATTATTAGTAGTATTTTGAAAAGAGTAATGAGTAATATATTCAATTTTTTGAGTACCAAGCCCAACACTGCATGTCAGTTACATTTGTGTTTCACACCCTCCTTCCTCTCTGCTCAGTACATTTCCACTCATGCTGCTTCCACTTTCTGTGGAAGTCTTTGTATTTATAAATATTAAAAAACTTTCATTAGTGTTGTACTTGCCCACGCTGGCTCCCTCCTCAAGGCTACACTCTGCCTCTATTAATCCATTCTAGATTTAATAAAGTTTTTTGAGCGGACCCTGAGTTCAGATCAGTTAGCCCAGAGCTAACCCCCGATGTTTCCTCCCCCACACCCAGGTTAATTTGTAGGCCCTGAATATGTTTGGTGAGTGTGTGTATTTTCTGACCCACACCTCTGGTCTGTCTGGCCAACCCACACACACACATTTACCAGAGAGAGCTGCAGGAAGGCAGAGGGAAAGTGGAGGACAGCCTGAGATTCCAGACATACCTAAAACCCCCCGACCCCAGCCTCCCTCCTTCCTGAGCCCCCATGGCGTCCCCACAGGGCTCATCAAGGAAGATGGAGGAAGCGCCAAAACCACAGAAAGGTATGACTGCTGCCCTTCTTTCAACTCCAATTAATCTGTCTCCACATATTAAAAATTATGAGCCTAAGTAATCAACACATGTGGTAGACACACATATGGAGGTCAGCCACTATACAAAAGTACTCAGAGGATCAGTCCAGATCTTACAGCAACTGCCAAAACATGTTTATGTATCTTCTTAAAGAGTCCTCATAAACAAGAAGTGAGAACATTACACCAAAATCAATTTAAATTTCAGAAAAAAATAGCACAACAAAACAAAACTTTAGCTGTCACTTTTAACCAAACCTCTTCTAGCAGCCAAGTCAATTCAGTCCTCTATAAGTGACCAAAAGCAAATTATTCCATTGAGTGTACTGTAGCTGCTGAGATGCTACTAGCGAATAACCATTTACAGATTTCACTTGTACTGGTGCCAGACATTTCTTGCTGTTTGCGTATTTGCGGCTAAGTGATGCAGACACACAAGTTTCATGGCTCTAGAGCATCTGTCTGCTGGTTAACATTCTTGGTAAGAGGAAGGAAAGAGGATCCCACATTAACACAGACAAACGCACAAGGAAGATGCTGTCGTTCTATTTCTGGAGTGTTTTAAAGAAGTCTTTTCTTTAGAAAATGAAACCTCTCTTCCACTGAGCCTATTCCCTCAGCATTTAAAGGGTCACTATGGGTCAAAGGTACAGATGCTATACAGGATGCCTCAAATCTGCAAAAGCTCTGCAAAATTTCTGATGAATAAGGCATATTCTGTTTTTGGCAACGCATACACAAGACATGAACCCTGGGAAAAACCCACTGGCAGACTAGCGGGACAGCCAGCAGGAAAACACTTCAAAAAACTGCACACCTGAGTCAGAACCACAACTGATGAGACCAACATGTCTAAACTTGCATCTGGATCTGCATAAGTCAACAAGCACAGACATACACAAGCAAACAGACACGCAAAAAGATGGAGAAGCTTTACAGAATCACACACGAACACAAGCACAGACATACACTCTTTAACAGACCTCCCTTGCACAGACACTAGAATGCCTACATTCTTTCTGAGCAGCATTGCTCGAGACCATTCACAGAGATGTTTTATGCCCAGAGAATTAATGAGCCTAATGGTGTTCTGCAGCCGCTGTGTGCGCAGCCTGCATTTCAGGGCGTAAACAAGTAGCTATTTCAATATTGGCTTAACATTTACATCAAATCGGTCAGCGATGGTTGTACATATTTAGCATCTGTGACTGACCATTCACAAGCAGCAGCAGCTTATTCCTAAAAGATGCTGTAATGTCACATGAGGATGTGAGTCATCGCTGCAAAACGCCCACATGAACACAGAGTTAAATCACTTTCTCACTCCGATGACTAAAGAAGGTATCTTATTACCGGGAAATGTTACTGAAAGAAGAGTGTGTTAGGACGCACGGCCTTGTTCTGGTTCTGAAGATTAAAAATATCTCTGCTTTCAGTTTGACTGGAAATCACAGAGTTGAAAAATTCTGAGATTTAAACAATCTAAAGAGAGAAATTGTACCTTTATGAGCACTTTTAATTTGTGTGCATTTTGCTGACAATACTTCTGTATATCTGCTACAGGTAAATAGACATTTAAAAACTATTTATTTCTTCAGCAATACCTTATTTTACAGGTCTGTAAATTCCAGGACAGAAGGTGATCTACACATGCAAAATGTTAAATACGTCCATAAACAACCATCCAATTCAGCATAAATGAAGAATATCATTTCAAATAATTAATAAATAAATAGTAAATATTAACTGGGATTCAACAATTTTTTTCATGGAAATTCATCTGGAAGCCAATAACAAAGTCAACACACAAATAAATCTGTCTTAGAACATTGTCCCTGTTTTTCTGTAATTAATACCAAACTATGAGGTACTTTCTAGGAAACTTTCAAGAAACCATTAGCAAATAGAGGACCTGTAAAGCGTTAACATTTCTTCAATCACTGGACTGCAGCTCAGTAACACTTCAGTGCTGTTAGTTGCTCTCACAGTGGCCTGACCCCAAATTACCTGCTTGAAATAAGGCTCTGTAAGCTTTCCTGCCAAACTGGGGCTTTATTTAGAACTAGAGTTTGGAGTCATGTCTGCATCAAAGCACACAGTGCCTTGTCAATTTGTAGTAATGTAGTTGGAAAATAAAACATCTCTGTAGTTAGTGTAAAGACTCAGAGAAAGATTGAGTCGCTATAATGCCATTTAGTTATGCTTTATGCCCATTAGCATCTGTGTTGGCATTCTCACTGGCACAGACCAGCATGTCTCAAATGGCTGCGGTTTTATTCAGCGAAAGCAGTTTTTCCTCTAACTCTAATGCTCATGTCCATTCCAGGAAATAGTAAAAGGACATTCTTCATCCTTCAGGTCTTATTCTCACAACAAAAGTCAAACGCTGAATGAGCACCTGTTACTGTTGTGCTCATTGTGACTACAAAATTAAATGCACACAGGTTTTTAGTCAGCTGCTTTCTGGGTTTTGAAATGAAACTAAAAATGACCTAGGGCTGACTGAAGTTTACTATATTTATATAGAGATGATGAACACAAAGTGCTAGCTTTCAAAGTTGGATCTGAGGACCAAAGAATCCTGCAGGAGCATTTAAGACCCTTTTCTAACTCCCACCTTCTTGTATATGTAACTAACTGTAACCATAACACAGAATTACTCATTTACATGCCAGACTGTAATGGCAATATAATAAAAATGACTTTTTTCCCATCTTTAAATCCAGCTACTGCACTATCACCACATTTATCTTACTGTACCTGTTCATGTTTAGTGAGGCGTGTTTTATTATGGATGTCAGCGGAGACCAGGTTGAACTGGTTTTTCTCAGCCAGTAACCTCAGTAGGATGACCACTGTCCGGCTGCCACACTTCCCCACACGGTTATAAACCACCTGGCTGGGAAATGGGAGCACCTATAAACACACACACACAAAAGAGAAAAAGTGAAAAAAGTAATTTACTGATGCTCTTTGGATTTACATAGCTTCTGATGTGAACACTGGTACAAGGAGGAAAAAAAAAACAGGAAACCCATTAAACTCTGGCTGAATTTTATTGCCTCCTTTTCTCCAACCTTTGACCTTTGTCACATATACTGGAGCTGAACTCAGCTGACCCTTAACCTATTCCCCTTCCCTAAAAACAGTAGGCCTGCATGCTTTTACCATAAGTGCTCAAGGCTTCGGCTTTCACCAAATTCTATGAATCATAGATTCTGCTCCAGCATCTGCAAAGTGATAATGACACAACCTTTTAGTGTCTTGCCACACACACACACACACACACACACAAGCTACAGCAAGCATACATACACACCTCATGACTCAGCAATTTAACAACTAGCTCAGCCAGGATTCAGATGCTTAAAGTGGAAGGAGGAATTCTTCTTACTGTAAAACTTTGTTTCACTTTGGAAAACAGGCTTGTTACAGTAAATGTCTGCTTAGACATGTGTATTGAGCATAAGACTCGTTTTAGCACAAGAGCAGCACGAATTTATTTGGCAATTACCCCTAAGGACCCAGGAGAGTTACCTTAGGTATCAAGGTTATTTGAGTAAATTTACCAGTATGCACATGAGAAACAAAATGAGCATCTGTTAAAGGAATTAAGTGGGAAAAATGGGAGAGAGGCACACAGGTCACATGGAAGAGTTCTCTACAATGTGATAAAGAGCTACTACAAAAAACAAAGACAGATCAGTTCTGTTGCTGCCGTGAAAACTGTTTTCCCTCATCTCTTCAAATGAAGACTTCCTAAAAATCAGGTGGGGGTGGAAATACATGGAGCAGTGACCGTGCTTTTCCCATCGGGGGTTTTCTGGATATCTCACAGACAGCAGACTGTGTTTGAAAGCAAGTCTGACTAAATTAACTAGTTCACTGGCTCACGGGGTGGCTAGTTTTAGAGATGGCTGAATGACCGACTGGCTCATTGGCTGTTACAAGATGAATCTGAGTCTTCACCTGCTGGGTTCTCTCTCCACTAGGACATGAAATTTATTTCTTGTCTTTAATTATTCCAAATGCTCTGTAGCTCTGCTGCTGCTGCAGACAGTTTCCACACCACAGAACTCCATGTAGCCACACACACACACAACGATGTTGTCCTATCTCATCCAGAAGCAGCAGTCCCACCCAAGGGCAGGCTCGGTAAAAATGGTGAGGGCCTCTTTGAGTATTTGCCGAGGGCCTCTTTGAATATTTTCCAGCACTCAGAGGAAACACGAGAACACGAAACAAGAGAATAAAGAGCAAAGACAGAAAAGAGAGAGAGATGAAGAGGAGGAAGAAAAACTACAGGGAAGAAGGTTATGACAGGTCACTAATCCCACTTCCTCTTTGTTTTCACCAGAATCTAAACATTTTACTGGATGTCACTGGTTTGACTCAATGTGAAACAAGCTCCACGGGCACATTTGTCCCAGGTTGAATATGTGTATAGTGGAAAAACAACAAGTTTTGTTGACATACATGCTTCAGCTTAGCATAGTCACCATTTGCTATACTGTAAAATACAATGGTATTGTTAATAAAAATACACAAAATAATAATTTTATTAATCAAAATAACCTTTAAAGTTCACTGGTGTTCAGAAACAAACAAAAAGCAAAAAATGGGAAAAGATTGAGAAAATAGGCGCCGTTCTCTTGGACAGCAGTCCAACATTCCTCAGCGCTTGCCAAGTAAATAGACACTTCTCACACTTATCACAATAATGAGACAGATGAAATATATGCAGTGTTTTGCAGGACGCCAATCCCTGCTGATATGATAACAAATGACTGGGTCAGACCTCTAACAGCCCTGTGCTGTGTAACACAACAACAACAACAACAGCAGACATGCCATCAAAAGTCCAAATCGCCCACTGACACTGACAGCATTGAAAGGTAACCTTTAACTTTGGACTATTGTTGTTCCCACTGTGGAGATTTTAAGTTTCAGATGCATACTGTGAGAAACGTTCACAGCGTCAGTCAGTAAGTATTACATAACAGGGTTGATTTGTGCTGCGTCTGATCTGGACGCTCCTACTCCTGGGTTCATTACTCACTACTGTCAAATGCCCCTCCAGCCCTGAGTGAGGAACAGCATGTTAGGGTCTGAGTCAAGTCGCACTGGAGATTTTCAGTGCTTCCTGTTATTAATGATCAGTCCATTCACTTCAACTCCCAAACCGGATGGAGGGAGTCTCGCTGCGCTAAGTGGCTATGACAGCAGAGTTTCCATCCAAGTATGTGAATTAAGATTTTCAGTTATTGAGAAGAAATGGGAAAATCTGACTGGATTTCCCCAGTACCTCCACTAATGTTTTACATATGATGTCATGCAGAAACCTTGTGTGTGAGACAAATGGAGATTGAAATGCTTTTCTTGAATAAGCACTCTGTCATGCTTTTACGATTTTAAACTGTGCATTCTAATGTTTGCAAATGTCTTCTAATTTTAGTAAATATGGAAAATATGAGCTCACAGCAGCATCATAACTTAAAGATTATCTTCTGGCATTGCCTAAATAATTTAAGTGATACAGAGGGACTACAGAATAACTCAATGGCAGCTATAAACTGTTCCAGATCTAGTGCAACTGAATAATTAGGAAAAACATATTAGGAAATATGTTCCATAAAGTAATATTTAGAAACGTGTACTATGCAGATGTTCTTGTCATGCTTCCACACATAGACTCAGAACTATTTGGAGAGCTGTGTGGCTGTTCCATACGCTTTCATTTTTGTTGAGCTTTCAGCTCAATTTGTAATCATCCCCTACAGTTTGTGTACCAGAGAGAGCCTCGGCTTTCTGTGAGCACATATGCTGCAATGCAGAGAGACGTGGCTGAAGTAGCACTTGCCAGTGAGTAGTCATCATCTGTCTGGGGGATGAAATGACAACAGATATGGAATCAGTCAAAGCTATCCGCTAACACATAATCACTGTCACAGAGCCAGGGTGAAAGGAGGCGGAGAAAAAAAGTTGATTCAGTTCAGACTTAGGGGTATTGACTGGGGCTTCAGAAATAAATGCTACATTGATTTCAGTTATATCTGTGAGCAAAGTGAATAGTTTTTTAGAAGTGGGAGATGGGGAAAATTAAACAGGGGTCTTCAACCAAAAGATAAAATGACAAAATCTGAAACTATGTAAATACTATTTCTTACATGAAAATAAATGAATCTACCAAATAGCACCTTGACAAAATTTGTTATCACCTTTTTCACAATAGTGGTAAAATTTAAAATGTTAAATGATATGTAAAAAGTTCTGTATCATGTATTCATTATCCAATCTTAAAATCACATTTAGTTTCAGTAGTTCATAGAACAATAATTTGAAAAGCTTATTGTCACGAGGCTCCGGCAGTGCTTCAAGGTGACCCATATGAAGGTATCCCTTTGGTAATGTCTGCTTTTCACTTATAGGTCCATACTTTCATTCCTAAACAAAATTTAGATAGGAACATTTGTTTATTCAAGAACTAAAGACATAGCTTGTAGATTAATCTTTAACAGTCCCCTCTGCTTCTGGCCCCCCCCCCCCTCAAATGAAATCACACTTTTCTATGTCATAATGAATTCCAGGGCTTCTGTGTTTGTATAATTTAAATATTCAGAATCAGGTGACTCTCAATAGTTAAACTGTTACACTCTCAACTTTATGTTCCGTGGGACATGGAAACTGCTTTAGATTTATTAGGCTTTATTTCCTTTAAATTCCAGCAAATGCTATAAGTTTGGCATTCACCCTATAGCTTAGAAAACTGGCCCTATGAGCCTATTCTAAGTGACAAATAAAGGGCTGCTTCAGATAATGATTTCACCAGAAAAATAAAAGTGGTACCAAGAAAAATCCAGCAGTGCCTCTGCAATTTGTTTCATAGACAGTAAAAACACTTCTATCTGTATGAAACAAGCACCGTGGTTGCTCAGCTTGGCGTAGTGGCCAGAACAGAGTCTTCAGAGTAAATACACAACTCACGAACAAAGCTCACATGTGGCCTAACACAATCCAGTCAGCGGCTCACACCAACCCTAAACAAACCTGTAGTCTCAGGTTAGCTCCAGGCTAAATGCTATGGCCAAAGATAAAATCACAAATAACTCCTTCTGTCAAAATGAAATACGATGGTGATTGAATAAAGATGGAAATAAGGAACAAAGGGCAGACAGAGAAAGAAAGCAGTTGGCAGGGAGAGAATGAGGGAGCACAGCGGAGAGACAACCATGCAGCTGGATGAAAACAAGGCTCCTGTGTCAGCGCTGTGTATGTGTGTGTGTGTGTGTGTGTGTGTGTGTGAGAGAGAGAGTTCAGACCATTACTGTAGCACTGAAAGCTGGTAATTGGCATTTAAAGTGAGTTCTTCACACAAACCTAAGCCTTACTGGGAATATACTGAACTAGCTTGGAAACAGAGGGGTTAGAGAGAGAGACAGAGATGAGGACAAAATGGGAAAAATAGGATAAAAGAGACAAAGAGAAAGACTTACTCTTGGAGCAGGGGGTCTGTGGTCATCCAGATATGTGGATTCACCTGCGAAGACGAGAAAGTATACATGTCAGGATTCCTACATACTGTACCATTCACAAAACAAAGCAGGTATTTGAACAGCGTGCTGCCAGTTTGACCCCCCCCAAAAAATTTCTCCCATTTTTTTAAGCAAAATAAACTATTAAAACCTATTGGACTAGTTCAGAAATGCATTGTTACAAAGGTGAAAACAAGGCTGGTTGCACAAATAGATATTTTGGAGAAATACAGCTTTCTTTAGACGTTGATGAAGGGTTAAAAAAGCCCCCGCTAAACTGGTATTTCTGACATTCCCCCACATGTTCCTTTGGAAAGAGGAGTAAATGCCACCGGCCCCTTCTAATCAATATAGCTGTCTTCTATTAACAACACTGAGGAAATTATTAACAGCACAGACCAGAATGTTTGTACATAAATCAAACACTGAAGTTTTTCCATGTGGGAACAAGGGAGCTCATTCAAGGTTGACACACATTGCGGGTCTGTGCCCGCCTTTCAGGCCGCTCTTTAAATCCAGGCCCAGGCTTCACACAGCGGCCTTTTCTTTGGCAGCCCATCCAGACTCATGCAGAGGCATCGCTTTTCATCGTGTTTACAACATTCATGAGCATGAAAGTAAGACAAATTGGCTCGAGTGTGTGTGGAGGGAATAAAGCTATAAAGAGGGTAAATGTTAACAACCTCTACTTGTGTCTCAGAGATTTGACCCAGAGCACAGATGAGAATAACAAACATGATGGATGAACACACACACACACTGGTTTATAACCAGCCAACGTTTCCCACTTAGCACACACTTAGATGTTGCTTGTCTGGGAAGTGTATTGCATAACTCTGTAAGTACTGCTTTGACTAATTAGTCGTACAATGAGATCTGAGCGGTTCTGTTACACTATCTCTGACACACACACACACACATACATACACACCTACTGTAAAGAGCATGCTTGGCTTCATCAGGTGCTACATGTATAGATAATCGGGTGTTTTTAGACTCTTTGCATCTGTCGTTGCCTCTCTTTCACAACTAACTGTTTTTCAGAGGAATGCTGAGGGAGGAACGCTTTTTTCTGAGGCATTTGAGGTCGTGGCAGGCTGAGGATGGAGAGACGCAGATATCTTTGTTTCTTCCTCTGTTATCCATCACAGACAAACTCCTCAATCACCGACCTCCAACTCCTCCCCACCGCCCATGTGTGTGTCTCATTAGCGTTTTGGATGGAAGATTAGAACGAATGTTTTTCCAGAGTACGAAGCTTGTAAAAGCTGACGGCTGCCCTCTGCCCCTACCACCCACAGAGAGAGGAAAATTAACTTACTGAAGAACCACTGTACTGTGTACTTTGCTCATCGGCCCCACTGTCCTCTGAACTCCTGTTAGAAGTCAGTGAGGAGGATGAGACTCTCATGGGACTGTTTGGCTTGATTAAGAAATATCTGAACTCCAAGTGCAGGGCAGAGCCAGAGGGGAAATGATGGAGAGGACAGGACTTTACTGCAGACCTCATATAATTAACACACTGGAAGGCAAAATGAGCAACAAAGTAAACACAGAAAACAACAAGGAAAAATCGAAAAGAGCAGACACAAAGGACAGTCACTCTGCCACTTCTCAGACGACAATCCAGCAGTTTGTCAGCGTTGAGTGGAGACTTAACTATGGAGTGGCTTGATTACACTTGATGAGAAACAGGTGAGTGTAATGAGAGCAGAGCGTGGTAACGTTGGAACCAGGGGACAAAGCAAAAGTAGAAGTGTGTTAAAACAAAAGCATGAAACAGGAAGTTCATGGAGACATGACATCGTGTTTTTAATCATTCCCTTACACTGAATTATGACTATATACAGTTATAAATACACACAGATTGATGACATTAAAAAAAAATGGGTTGGATGCAGATGTTCTCAGAAAATGGGGGTTTACTAAATGGTTAACTGAGAATAAAAATGATGTTAATCTTATGCTATGACCCTTACTGACACCAAATATCAACCCAGCTGAACACGTGTGTATGGCTGAGTGAGCGAGTGTGTCTGTGTGAGAGTGTGTGCGTCAGTGAGCGATTGCTAACCGAAGTATGAGGATGCAAAAACATGTAGCTAAATGGTTAAGCAGATTATTGTGTCACAAGATCCAAAAACATGCATATCAGCAGCCGCATAACCATTCCTGAGTATAATTATTAAATTAACCCCATGCAACACTGACAACACAAATCAGTAGTGCGTGTGAGTTTCAACCAAAAAACTGTAAAATACAAAAACAAATATATCAAAACTGAAAAAAAAACTAGAATTGGTAAATCCTATATGAGGCAGACTGTGGTCTGGGGAAGTTATTTCCACACCCACAACAATCTTGGGTCTGTAAAATTCTGTAGCAAATAAAAGTGTCTACAAATCAACACACATTTATGATTCACTTTCTGAACAACACATGCAAGTAATACAATCTTATAGTGCACAACTTTACACTGAGAGAATAAGTGATGAAATATATATGGCAAAATAAAAACTATTGCTATAACTGTTTTTTTTCTCCATGAATCAAAAATCCAACAGCAACCAATTATTGGAAATCCGGTGAAGGAACCAGGCATCAGTACGACGCGCAGCCATTGTTTGAACTGAACCAGTGTAGCTACAGCAGCTACTGTAAATATGTGAGATACATCTACATTTGTCCAGGAGTAACCCAGCAAGACAAATTCCTCCTGAGATTTACTCTCTGTTGTTGTTCTGCTTCAGGAATGCAACATTAAGTTTGTGAATTTTATGAACATGCACTTAGAGCATAGATCGTTTTTCTTTGCTTTGTGAAATTGGCACTGTAGTTAAGTAGAACTTAGACAGGGAACATCCCAGAATAGGCTGGGGTGGGAGCAGAAAACCACACAGGAATGACTGTTGAGAAGAAGGCCAAGAGGACAGGCAAGAAGATGAAGTTATGGGGCCTTTGCTTTGCTGTGGGACATGACTCAAGGCAAAGATGGAAGGCTACAGAAGGTTACAACACCAGATTACAGATTCCTCGGCCTTTGAAAACTAAACTTTCTTATTGTTAACCACATTCTGCTGAGAGTATAAGTTGTAGGGTTGCTTCAGTTCCCTACTGAGAGTTCATAGTGATTGTTTTTACAGTGGCTAGATAGACACATATCTATTAGTCTGCACAGTTGTCGAAAATTACATAACTCCAGCCTGATGCAGCTGTGTAAAACACACCCATTTAAACTTGGACACATGTGGTTACAGTCCTACTAAACATTTGTGCCATAATAGTGAGCATATGCAAAGAAAGTCAGTGTGTATGGTTACATACATGCATTTCTGTGCGCTTGTGTGTGGAATGTGTGTGTGTGGCCACCCCACCCTTTGATTTAGAGTGTGGGAGTGGCCCTCCTTTAAGACCCGTAGAATGACCCATCTACCTAATTACAGAAGGGTCTGGGTCTCCACCCACTACAGCCTGCTCCACGTTACCATTCATTCACTCAAGAATCAACAATGGTTAGGCAGCTTAGCGATATAAATATAAACACCGCGCCTTTGCTATGTTATTACAGGTGCCCAAACCCCAAAACCTGGTAGGGAGACTAATTTGTGGACTTAATGCTCCCCTCAAATTTTGGTTACTAAAATGTAGCAGGAGGACAGTAAGAATGTACACACACAAACAGATGTAGAGGAGCTGGGAGACTTCAGGATGACTGTCAGCATATCATTTTGTGGACACCAGCGTTTGCCACCGTATATACCGTATAGGGATGTACCACTCCCCAGCAAAGCAGTTGGCTGCAGCTGTGCAGAAAGTCAAAAGACTAGAAAACTAAAAGAACATGACTATGTTTTCAAAATGATCAAGGCTGGAGTGGGAGCTAGTGCTGTAACAGACACCGTATGACAACCCATACATCCATAACTGATGAAGTATGGAACAAATTTGAATCAAATCTAATATTTCTGTAGGTTGAGTAGATATGTATTTGACAACTAGTGCATTTCATAATTTATGTTAAAAACAACACACTTGGAACCATCGACATGACTGAAAGAAGCTAAAGAAACTGGATAAGATCAAGTGGGGAGTTTGAGCATGCAAACTATGAGGAGAGCATCACCTGCCTCTAGCCCTCAAGGCAATGCTCCTGCAGGAGTCCAGAATTTAGGGTTTGAAGTTAAAAGAGGATTCTGTTCCACTACTTTCAGAATCAAATGTGCATGTTACAGGGTATAAAAATCTGGCAGTGTAATCACTTTAATTTAGGTGAGTCAAGCAAATCAAATATTGCTCCTATGGTCACAGATTTCTCCACAAAAACTAGCTATGATCCTTGACCTTACGAGACCCTAATCTATCCAGCACAATGTCTATTAGCACTGTCTGCCTCTGGAAATCAGATTGCTTTGAAATGAAGAAATGTGAAGTAGAAAACTGAATCTGGATAGAGATCTGACGCCATAGAGTCAAACCAGGAAAAGTAACACAACAACTGAAGAAATGATGTGATGAACAATTCTCTTCCTTTAATATGACATCCTGTGGGTGATCCTATCATTACTAATCCAGTAATGAGAAGTAATTACACACTGTCATGGATTTCCAGAAAGCTGCATGCTCTGTCAGCTAATTCTGGACAAGTCATTTTTCATTTTAAAGAGCACCAGGGTGCCTGTGCATGTCGACACGTAGGCACGAGGTGTCTTGCTAGCCTGGCCTTATGGATAAAAAGCCTGCTGGTGGCCATTTTGACTGACCGGTGATTTTTGACACACACCCCTACAAAAGAAGTCAAATGTGGGGACCTTTTACTTTTATTTGTTTTCCACACTTTGGATACTAAGTTTGCCAGCTTTAGCTCACCCAGACTAAACATCCATCCCATCTTTTCTGCATCTGTACTCTAACATGAGCTATAATTAGGACATACATTTCCTTTAATATTACTGTCCTTATATTCTCATAACAGTGTGATTAATTCTCAGTCTCTCCCAGTTCACAC